GGGTTCACTGTTGGGAATTTGTACTGTAAAGGAGGAGTTGATTGAATATGGATGAAGTATTGAGAAGTTTACTGTGCAGTGCTTTACGGATCCGCCCAAACCATCCGGGTGGTATCGCAAATATATAGAGAAAGAACAATAGAGGAGGTCTCAGCCAATCAGGAAAGACTAACGTCATCAAATCAGATCAAACTGATTGGTTAGTGCCTATTGTTTCAGTGAAACTCGGTTTATTCAGTAATTTGCAATTGAATGAGCCGAAATGGGGGACAATGAAATTTTATGTCGATTTTAAGGAATACAGAATAATTGTCTTGCTGGCCGGCTGTTTAAACAATTTAAGATGTTCTCGCTCATGAAAAGATACAGTCTTGATCATGATTCTGATGAAAGCCTCTTTCCTGATATAGGTCAAATGGGATCGCTACGGTCGGTAATAAAACTCTTCAACGAATCGTAGTGGTCGCTGAGGTAGACTTAAGTTTTAACCGAAGTCTAAAAAGCAGCTTTCCATTATCACTGTTGCTGCGGTCGGCGACTATAGTTCGGATTGCTACTTTGTTCAGCGATCATGCTCAGCGCCATCAGAATGAAACCATTGCCCGTATCCAAGTTCACATCCTACATTAACGAATGTGTAAACAGTCCGGACAACAACAACCGAGTTACCATTTTATACGGGCTGGAAAAAAACAAAAACTGTACTGTTTTTAACTATTTTTGTTTTCGGGGCAAACGCAAACCCAAATAGACTTTAGTTCCTATGATCGAAAACTAGCTGCACAACAAATCGGTGAGAGAAAGACTTTTAAAGTTTTAAATCCTACCGGTTCACCTAATGGATACCGGCCATTGTTTCAAAAATTCTTAAAAACAAGTACAATTCCCATAAGTTATAGTGCCTTTCTTTTGTTTCAACAAACAATAAACATGCAAATCAGCACTAAAACAAGCTGGCTGTTAAGTCTCCAAACACACGTACCCCGCTCTTTTTGGAAAAAATGTATTCAATCTCGGACAGCTATACTTACCACGCCTTCACAAACTCCCGTTTCAACTCCCAGACAAACTCTGTATTTTCACATTTCCGTAAGCGGGAAATGGCGGCCGCGGACACTTCTGAAATGTTTCATTTGGTGAAAGTTAAAAATTTGTATTGATAATAACCTTTCGTGGAAGTAGCTTTAAAAGTATTTTTTAATGTAAAAGAGCAAGAAATGACCATTCAGAATCTCAACAACGCCAACTAGTATGCACTAAATATAGCTTTTGTAGTTTGATTCATGATGGGAGAAATGAGAAAATTTTTATGCCAAAATACGAATATTGTGACGAGAGAGGAAAATTCAAAAGTGGCGTTCGAATCGCATTATGGGAAAAATTTCTATTCGTACTGCAGGAAAAAACAAACAAACAAACAAACAAAAAACAAAACAAAGGCCCAGCAACAAAGGTCTCGAATTTTCAGGAAGCTGCGGGTGACATCCGCGTTCCCGTTCGAAACAAAGAAAGGAATTTTTCTTAGCCATGCACACCGCGCCCTTCAGAGCTGAATGACAGTGCCATACATGTCCCTAAAGAGCTAAGTGGGTTTGTGTATACATTGCTGACTGGCCGAGTAAAGATTCGTCAGAGAGTCGACCAGTTGATAAAGTCGTCTTCGCAAGACTTCTAGAGTATTTGGAGTAACCAGAGGAAGGATTTAACAAAAATCCACCTTGTAAACAATTCGAATCCACCTAGTAAACAATTCCTCCCTAGTGCGCTGTTAAAACTCTCACAAATAACGTGGAGCTAGTGTCTTTACAAAATCGTTATGGTTATGGCATTTCTTTTTCCCAGCTTGCTATAGTACGTGTAAGAGAATCAATTAGATGGGCATTAATTGGGAACTACGTTGATCTGCAATTGAATTGTGACAGCCTTGGTGCTTTGCCTACGATAACGCAAATTATGCCTGCTATTTACCAGCATTCTTCTCTGAGATGTCCCACATCGAGGAGACCGATCCGGAGGCCTATGATTATCTGAAGTTTGGTGGATTTTAGGTCAAGATCGGTGACCAAAACCCTTTTTAATAGGGTTCCAGTTGATCAACCACGTAAGGAGACGGAAGGACAAGGGACAGGAGGGGGTACCGAAATTCGTCACCCATGATATTAATTGGTAATCAGATCGTATACTCGTGAAATTAGGGAATAATTTCACTTGGGTTTTGTCCAAATCCTAATAATTTCCCTCGCCTAAAGGCTCGGGAAATAATTAGAATTTCGACAAAACGCAAGTGAAATTATTCCCTAATTTCACTCGTCACCATTTGATTACACATACTAATTCTCACTACCTTTTCTTTTGATTGTGTATTGATATTTTTAGGAGAAAATTGATGTTTGTCACTTTTGGGACTTAAAGGGTTAAGAAAATTAGTGCATGGTCACCAAACCGGATCTGAGTGGATGAGTAACGAAAAAAAAAAAGGAATAAGAAGGAATAAGAAAGGCCGTACGAAACAACTACAGCTAAAATATAAAGCAAGAAAACAACGAAAGAAACCATCCAAGAAAAGGAGCAAAGGAATGATAAGAGAGAAGACTAAACGGTCAGCTTCGAAAAAGGACGAAAAGCCGGGGCAATAGCGCCACTCCAACGAGGGGAGAACTTACAAAAGCGATCCTACAGTGTGTACCGCCGCGGCTGGTGGAACTGTGCTTGTGTACCAACTCAGTGTTTTTATTCATATATTGCGCTCAATACAACTATAAGTAAGCGCAAAAAATCTTATGGCTTACCTACTTCCTGTTGTTATCAATACCATTGGCCAGCCGTGGCTAGGTAAGCCTTCCTGTTTATGATATTCCTGTCATTCGAAACTAATTTCCGTTTCCCCACAGAATATGAATTCAAAGTACTCTGTTAGCACAAAATTAAAGGGTAAATTCTCTGTCTCGCGGTTTCCTGCAGTTTTTCTTTCCCGTTAATAAGCATATAATGACGGAGAAATCATGCTCTAAGCAAGATAAAACATTGAAATACACCAAACGACAATGTTTCCTTTTATAAAACGTAACCTCAGAACAGTACGAAAAAGAAAATGCTTTGCGTCACTTATTCGAATTTGGTCCGGTGTTCATGTGGCTTGTTTTAAGCATGCATATTAATCGATGAAAAATTTTACTCTTTTTGATACTGTTAGCAGAAAACAAAGCTTAGATATTAGAGTTAACAAAACTGAAAATGGCTGAGAGCGTAGTTTTGACTAATTTACAATAACCAGCCTCCTGTCCCTAATCGACTTAATATCAAACAGATAAATCTGAGTTGAAACGACTCGGCCAAGCTCTTCTTCCGAGAAAAAAACAAATAGGCTTTTTATCATCATAACTTAATTTACGAATCAAATTAAATTTTGTTAAACATAAAGAATAATTCGATGTCGTCATGACATCGTTAACAAGTGACAAAGTGTAAACGAAAATGAAAATATGTTAAACAAACAGTTTTGTCCGGAGGGGATATGACTGCGTGTTTAAGTTTGATTATTGCACTTCTTGGGTACAGAGAAGTTGGTACTAGGGTCGCCTATGGCTTTTAGGCCATGGTTGTTCGTCAAGTGCTTTCCAATTGCCAAGTTATGGTGTTTTAATCAATGCGTTCATGTAAATACCGGCTAGTGTAGCCGACGTGTAGATAGTCTGCATCGCACAGATCATATTGTTGATTAATTGAGGATGGTCTGGGCTCACACATTTTATACTCATGTCAATCATCACCAACTTTTCGAGTCGTAAATACTGGTTGGACGGTGTGGTCCATTTTTCTGCTGAGATCAGACAGTTGTTTTCTCCGGCCGACGTTTCACCTTTAAACGGCATGCAATACCACTCGGTGAACAGGATATTCGTCGGGAATATACTTTTTGACATTATGATCTCAGCATTTTTTGCGATGCGTTTGTAAAATCAACACTTGAGTCCTTGGACAGTTTTCCAACTGAAAAAGAATAATTGTCAATTCTATAATCTGTAATCAGAAATCCTTATATATATCATTATATATATAAAAGAAATCTGGGCATTACCACTTTTAGAGCCGGGCTTGGTAAATTCCCTTTGATCGATATCATTGCTAAGAATCAAACAGGCCCTTACTTGTCCACAAAGGTTATATTAGGCATCTTCATGATCATGAGATAATAAAGGTAAAAAAGATCAGTAAGTATTTGTAAATTAATCTTGATTATTGAATTTGAAAGCGGGGATAGCAGCTTCTTACCGACAGTCGCACTCCCGGATCGAAGTTCCTCTTTCTGAAGGGAAAAGGAATGATCTGGGAATGATAATTAAAATTATTCCTTTTCCCTTCAGATGTTGTCTTGACGCAACTATGAAGTAGTAGGTTCGCTTAGACAATTACAAATAATAATAATAATAATAATAGTAATAATAATAATACTAATAATGATGATGATGACAATAATGACGATATATAATAACAATTATTATTACATTTATTATTATACTTATTATTATTATTTTTTTAAGAACAAGCTGCATGAATAGGCAGAGAGCAAGACTTTTCACTCAGTGGTTGAGAGCGCCCCTCTCACGCAGCAGCTTGCGTTTAATAGTCCAGTTTCGAATTAAAAATCACTGCTGAATACAAACATTAACGACACATTCATACAGGGTTAGCGTCGACGTAAAGTAAAATATTCAGAAATTCTGGCAAGTAAGTGTAATAAAGTGTATTGACAAAGTATTAAACAGGTATTTTTCTCATTGGAATTTGTGAATATATTACTTCAGATGGGGGCTAAAGCTGTAAAAAATGTGTCTTCACTTCTTTAATTCAGCGGTCGTAGCGAACTCGAAAATGGGCTGTTGAATTTTAATGCATATTCAGCCAAATTCTTTTTAACGCCTGAATATTAAATGATTTAAAAACTGAATGTAAACAAGTCAACTATTAACCTGAGATCAGGCCCAATTTTAGCGGTTCTCAAAGGTGTGATCTAATAATTTATGTAACAAACAACAGCAAGAAACCAACTCTAAGTTTGAAAGTTAAAAATGTGTCAGTTAAGCTATTGAAGAAAAACAAAATATCCTCTTAAACGAGGCCATTTGATGGTTTGATTTTTTCCACTGGTCGCTCCACAAGAGTATATTCCGGCATCCCCGATGTCAATGTTTTGAATCGTAAACACTTGTCGCTCCTTAGTAAGTTTATTGGTTTTGGGTTTAAGCTCTGTGCTTGGTGCAAATGGATGGGGTTTACGCAGAAGAGACACTTTAGCATCAACGTCATTTGTAGAACAGTTAATCACCACGCTGTGGCCAATGCGTCCTCGAATTACTCGCGGCGGTTTATTGAGGAATACAAGTGATTCTGTTTAGAAAGAAAGTAAGATACAATAGATATTAATCAACCTCCCGTTTCGTTCTGGCAGTTTAAATTTTTAACTTGCGTTTAAGCAAGTAATACATCTGATATGCACAGGACATACCGTAAAATTGAGAAAATAAGCCCCGGAGCTTATATTTTTCAAAGGCCCTTTTTGAGGGGCTTATTTTTGGAGGGGCTTATTTTCGGAGGGGTTTATCTACGGAGGGAAATTTGCGTTTCAAAATCGATTGGGCTAACCTTATAGTTGGAAGTGAATTTACCGTTTTTGCTTTGTTTTATTTTGTATTTGAGGGCAATTTTCCACGTACAAGCCCCCGGGGGGCTTATATTTGAAGGGGCTATTTAACGGAGGGTTTTTTGCGTTACCGGTTTGGGGGCCTTATATTTGGAGGGGCTTATACATGGAGGAGCTTATTTTCGGAATTTTACGGTATTCGATAAGTACAAAGGAATTAGGAGGGAGGGGGGGGGAGCAAATTCTTATAGCATACAGAATACAACCTTAACGTTTTTGTCAGTAGCCCAGGGTACTTAATGCACACTCGCCAGGGGCACAGGCAATGATAGACCCACGCGGCCGGTTATTATCCTGGTGTTAGTAGCGTGATTCATACAGCTAGCTAGAACTGGATCGTGAAACTCACAACTCCAAGCGAACTTTTTCCATTATTTTATTTGTGTTACGATGTTTTCACACACCAGTTTTTTTGACGCGAATCTAGGCCATCACAATCCACAAAGTAGACTGAGTCGACAGCAGAAGGCGCAGACCTTAAAATGGCAGTTTTTAGTTTCCATGACAAACTTCTTTCCTTTTATTTCACTTAAATCATTCGGATGCGCACATATACCGAGCGAACGTTTCTTTTTCTTTAAATGTGACCAAAATCAATAGGCCACATCCGAATTCCAAAAACCCTCACTTTCAAAATGAGGCCAAGTGTACAACCTTTTTTGTGGAAATGAGTTTTATTTGCATGAGGATGAAAAATCATTTCCATATCACAGGTTGAGCACTTAACCTTGTTTTGATACAGAGGCCCGGGGGAACTCGGAAGTGGCCTATTGATTCATGAAAACGGGAGTGCTCGCTCTAGTTTAATGGGCTCAGGCCCTTAGGACGTTAGGCTAGGGACGACAACGACGATGACTTTGATCGGCAATGAAACGTGCGCTTCTAGAGGGTGACAGGCTTATTCAGCACACAATAACAACTCTGTACGCGCACTGCATTGTATGAAATATTTCTTTGCCGCCACAGAGCCAAGGGTGTTACTAAAACGAGGAACGGGGAAACGAGGAATGGGAAAATATAATTGAGAATAAAATTAAACTTAAACTCTAGCCCTATCTGAGGAACTTCATTACGCATTCTCTGTTTGGTTCCCATTTCAAATTTTCCCGTACTCCCGTACCCCGTTTAGTAAAATCCATATACTGAGAGCGCAAGGTCTTTGACATGAAATTTTCCTCTTAATGCCATGTTTTGTAGAGGACTTAGCTAGGACTTGGAAACTCGACGGCATATTTTTTTCTCTTTCTCGAACTTAAATACAGTGCCCACCTATTCAACTTTAGAAACTTTCTTAAACTTTTTTTTTCTCAGGAAACAACTCGATAACACGCCAAGGTTAAGTATTGCACAAAAAGCAACTTTTAAACTGGTAGGCTCCTCTTTTAAAATGCGGCCACTCTCCTTTTAGCGGTCAGTTACCAGATACTCATATGACAAATTTGTTAGTAAATGAATCAGTTAAGGGCTTTGCCCCACCAGAGTAGCTGCTCTATAGAAATTCATTCGACCACTATGATAACCGTAAAAAAGACCTCAGATTTTTTTTCCCAATCAAATCATACACGCGCAGGCTAGTAAATAAATGTACCACAAGGACAACCAAGCAAAAAGAAGAATACCTCTCACTGTTACATAGGCCAGCTTAAAATGGGTCTTGCCAGAAGCCGTTGATACGCACTTGTAAACGCCACTGTCTTCCATTTGAGCGAATTTAATCTTGAGTATGGCTCTTGCTCGATTGTTGGAGCTGTCTTTAACAACAGTAACCATTCTCTCGGGAACAGGTACATCTCCTGAAATGGTTTTCTTCTTCCATTCTAACTCAGCCGTTAAAGAACCATCTAGGTCACATTTGATCCTTGCCTCTTGACCTTGCAATACACTAATATTTTCTGCTGGTCTTAATTTCAGGCGTTTTACTAAATCAACTGAGTATCAAACAAAAAGACATTTTGTCAGTTCGTCACTTTAGACTGACGAGAAGGGGGCTGAAGCCGAAATGCATCCAGCACTTGTTTTTGGGATAGTTTCTGGGGACGCGCCGGGCAAATTGCCTTAAATTAAGCCTATGTTTCAAAGCGAGGCTAAGTGGGAAATCATTGATATGAAAATGTTTTTTTTTTTCATTTTCATACAAATAAAACTCATTTTCACAACCAAGGTTTTGCACGTAGCCTCGTTTTGAAAGTGAGAGTTTTTGGAACTCGGAAATGGCCTTAGGCTGTTGTTTTCTCTATCCCTAGGAACAGTTCCAGGGGTCTTTGAGAATGAAGTAAACTCATTTCAGTTTCCTTCTGGTTTCTAAAGGGGCGAAAGCAAGTAGATGACTTAAAACTATTCTGAGGTCAGGGATGTCAGATAAACAATTTAATTGACAAAGACTTATGATAACGGAAGCCCATGAGTAGACTCGCGGAATGATATGACACTTTTCGCGGGAAACAAGCCGTTGTACTTAATATAAATATACTCGGAAAAGGGTTCGACTCCTGAAATTAAAGGAGATGGAGGCTCCTAGTCATGTGCTACTACTGGTGATAACAAGAGTGACTCTGCCCAACAGAACCTGGACAAGAACAGTTTTCTCAATGAAATTTGGTTCCAATAATCAAAGCTAGGGAAAAACAAGCACTAAAAAACTGCACCTGTCCAATAAATCCCGTAGCTTCGCCTTAGTTTTTAGATACAGTAAAAACCCGCGACTAACAACCAGCATTTTCCCAAGTTAGCATTGACAGGTTCTTACATAAATGGTAATTAGCACAAATTTAGGCTATTTAATAGGTTCTTGAATAGGTTCTTATTTTCTGAAGAGAAAAATACCTAGTAGCTTAGAGTATTTAGTGGGATTCAGCTCATTCCCTAGGTAAAACCTGTATACCATTACAATTACAGTTGGAGTAATAAGGCACCATTAAACATTTTAGAAGATAAGAACCTGCTCCAAATTTTAGGCTAAACAGCTTCTTGTATAGAGGGGCTTAACTGGTAAATTTTAGCCTGACGGGTTCTTAAAAACCAGGTTCTTAGTCATGGGTTTCTACTGTACTTAAGCTGAAGTTTCGTCTTTCTTGTAGACAAATCACGAATGTTTAATTTGAAAAACCCAAGCTGAAACTCACCTTGAATTTGAACATTAAAAACTGTTTGAACATCTGAAACGTCATTCGATGCGACACACTTAAACTCTCCTTGGTCTCTTGGATATAAAACACGTCTTATTCTAAGAACTTGAACCGTATACAGTGAATTATCTTCGTTTTCATCATAAACCTTATATGCCTGAATGGCCTTGCAACTTCGATCATTGGTGTGTAGTTGCTTGCCGTTTTTGTACCAGGTAACGTTAGGTTTAGGAGCTCCCCTTGTTACACATTTGAGGACCTTTGTCGATCCTTCCTGCACAACTATGGTTTTTGCATCGTGGGGTGCAGTGATCCTTGGTGGTGTAGGAGCTGTAAACAGAATCACAGATTATAAGAACATAACATACATTCAATATAGTAAATGCTACACTTCTATACCAATTCGCACGGGGTGAAAATAAGTAGGCAAAAGTGGCATTTACCATGTTTGCTCCAGATTTAATCCTCTTTATTTTTTATTTGTGCTTCATATTTGCTTAGAGCAAATTTGTGCAAATCCATTTTTTCTTTTCGCACATTGAAAACCCCTATTGGATTCTCCTTGAGATGGCCTATACGGGCTCTCGGTTAGTGCGGACGAGCGAAAGTAGCGAGCAAACATTGAAATAGCGAATAAGCGAAAAAAGGCGAGAAAAGAGAAGGGGAGAGCCAAATACCTGAATCTGTCTACTATCCCGCCACTTTCTTGAAAAGCCGTTTACAGGCTCCACTACTTTGTATCTCCCCTGCCCCAACGCGTTTTTCGCGCAACTTTTTCTCGATCCGCTTTCCTCTCTATCTTAGAGCTATGTAACAGGCTAGCTCCTGATCTAATATAAAAGCTTAGAGCGCAACCATCATTTTTTGAAATCTCTATTTCTTTTTCTCCTCGATCTCTCGGTTGCCCCTTTCCTTCTCCTTTGTTAGCTGCTCTTTTTTCGGGTTCGTCGGACACCAAAAAAGTAATGAATCTCTCTCTCCTCCGCAGAGGCTCCCTCTGGGTATCCCAATGAAAATACTAAGCAATACTAGAAAAATAGAAAGCGTGCGGCGGATGATGGGAAGAGGGAAAGGCCTCTCTATTTCGCCTTCCCATCGTACCCCGCGCGCTTTCTTTTTCTTTCTCCCTAGCCTCTCCCTACAACACAAACACGCATCTGCGGAGACAGAGAGTTAATAAATCAGTAATAAAGTAAAATAAAGTGAATAAAAAATAACTCGCCTTTGGGTCCTTTTTTCACTCAAATGGCTCAAAAGTAAAATTCTGAAGGTAAATTTTAAAATTTCTGCTAAATATATAGTATATTAAAAATTAAAAATCGTATACTGCGGGTAAAATGTAAACAAATAATAATGCAAACATACCCTTGACAGTAAAGTTTGTATTCTTATAATCTGATAGATTTGGTGGAACTGATACTGTGCATTTGTATGTACCAGTGTCCGCGAACTGCGCATTTGTAATCTTCAGGGTTGCTCTCACATACTTTGTATCTTTAGTGACCTTAACTTGGCTCTTGGGGACGGCTGCATATGATTTATCATCCTGTTGCTTTTCCCACTTTAGCGTAGAAACTGAAGGGCCTTCAGCTTCACATGTGACTTCTCCACTCTGCCCTTGCAGCACATAGATTGATTTGTTTGGTATCAACACAAAATGCCTGGGTAACTGAGCTGCAAAAAATATGTGCAATACTTTACATGGTGTCTTCAATACGTACTGTAGCCAGCTCTGCAAAATGTTCATAACTTATATAATTCCAGTGTAAAAGTATGAAAAAAATAATAATGATAACAGGAAAACTGAAATCTGATCTTGAATCGAAGTTATTCCGAGCGTAGCGACTTTCTAATCTCGTCGCGCGCGCTTCCCGCAGTCCGCTAGCCGCGCGCGGTCTTAGCCAGCTGCAAAATTCGATGCCCCATAAATCTCTCAGTAGGCCTGCACCGTTCTAAACCGCTTATTTCACTGTTCCCCTTTAATCTGCACTTCCATTGTTTTCAGAGATAGGGGCATTGTTATGTGGCAATCTCTATTGATTTCCCAGCTAATCAAAAACAATCTTTCGAATAGGTGCAGGATCGCCCAAACCTCTCTATGAATATATGCTTGGTGTCCGCCAATGACGTCATGGAGCATTTTGCGTTTCCAGGCAACATAGACTTTGCTGCCGATGACCAAGGCGCATTTCATGTAAACAATGTTTACCATCGATGAATCACGAACAATTTCCAATACAAATGACACAAACACAACATTGTGGCTCCAAATCCTCGCCGAGGGAGATTTTCCACCGAAACTCCTTGAAATTCAACTAGAGCAACGAAGAAGGAGACAGCAGCAACAAACAGCGGAACAGAAAGAACATCATTCAATGAATTTCGAATGCTAAAGTAATTTTATGAGCAAATTGAAGCGATTTTGTTTAATTAGCCTTAAGATATGAGCGAACATCGCAACCTCGACCACAGGGCGCTTTTCCCTGGCTTTCCTGAACACCGCGGTAACAAAACACGTTTTGCTCGCAGACGAGTTTACACCGTATCGGCTTAGTTGGGCTTCTGTTCTTTAAATGCCATGAAATGCGTTTACGTTGGGTTTTCACTGTCCAAACAGCGGTCATTCTTCCGAAAAATACCTTTACTTTATCTGAGGTCGCGCTGGCGGAAGTGCTAGGGGAAAGGGTTTTAATAATATCTTTTTTACAATTTCATCAGGGTGTTCCAAGTGGCCTAATGGTAACGATATGGGCCGGCGTGTCGAAGGTCCTGAGTTCGCTTGCTCTCTCTATTTTTCTTTTTCTTTTCGTTTAGTTTTCTTTTTAGTTATTGCAGTTTTGTTTTGTTTCTTTGTATTGCTTAAATTTTTAGATTCATAAATTTTCTTCTCTATTGCCTTATCTTGCCGTTCCCTCGAAGTCCTTCGCGAGGTCCTGCGATTTACGTATTTCTAGTTAATATATATATGTCACCAGGCTAATCAACCGTATATTTATTTTAGCGCCTTTTAGTATTTACCAAATCAGTAAATAGCAATTTTCGCGCGTTTCGATTGGCTCCCGTAACTCGGAATATTCTTGGCTATTCCGGAGACATATTTGTGCGATAAATGAAGCATTCGTACAAACAAATACCAAGAGAGCTTCGAACTTTGGCTTGTCGGTGTTCACTGGTAGGTAGAAAATTATTTTCATACTGAATTTGCAACAAAATCGTCAAATGCGCTTGACAAAATCTCCGAAATGTTCGTAAATTGTAAACAAAGTTCCTACCAAGTTGACGTCTGTAATTTACAAAAAGTTACTTTTTTTCAGTTTATCCAATTGATTTGGTAATACTAAAACAACTATTCCCTTCAGGGTCGGTGAACAGCGCTAGATTAAAATACCTTGACTCTTCGCGAATTCCCGTCTCGGTACATATATAGCCACCACCACTTAATTCACCTCCCCTTCGGGGGATAGTTGTATACTATTTCATCCTCATGAATTTAACTAACAGGCTAATTGTCCGAGAAGGGCTTTTTTCATCGTTTTCTTTCTGAGTGGCCAACCTGAATCCCTTAATTTCACAAATTTGAATTTTTAGTGACATCAAACCAAACTTTTTTACTCTATTGTTTTATACAAGTACAATTAACTCAAAATATTCTTACAGACCTGCTTGTATATATAACATTGAACCAGTGTTCCATTCAATAGTTTGACCTGACTGGTCCGTGGCCCTGCATTTATAGTATGCGCCATCCGAAAGAACAAGGTTTACTATGCTGAACACTTGTTCCCTCAAAAGAAGTTTGTTTGGTGTGACTGGAAACACATTATAAGAAATCTCAAAATCTTTAGACTGTAGAAGTGACACTGTGGCATTTGGGTCATCTGTTGTGCAGTTGTAGTCAACACTCCAGCCGACATGAGATACCTGGAGTTGTGGAGGATCCTGGAGAAACTTCAGAGCTCCTACACCTACAGAAAATAACGCAACAACAAAAACAAAGACAACAAAATACTTTTAGAAGAATCGATACATAAACCACACACTGCATCCTTGTTTCGCTTTGAGCAATGCGGGACTAGCGCTCGCAAGGGTAAAAGTTACACTGCCTGTGGCAAAGTAATTCATTTCATGCAGTTGGACATACCTGGGGTAATCAATAAAAATGAAGCATGAAAAAAGGCGCTCCAAACTAAGCCTCGCCAAATGTCGTAATACTCCCGCATCGCCATTGTTTGGACAAAATAGACGATCATTCACTCGAGTGCCTTTCTTAATGTTATTTTTGTTCCAAATAAAACATATTTAAAGAGACGATAGAGCCTAGGTGTGTCAACTGCAGCCAATTAGAAGTCAGTTCCCGTCTTTAAAGTTCTTAGGTCAAACCCGGGTGAGCCCTGCGCCACATTTTCGTTATTATATTTCGTAACTTCTGTTTAACTTACGCAGATAAACTTCTCATACCCCGTGATTCAAGTTTTAGCTTATCCCCAAGGACGCATCTCATTAGTTTGATTCAAGCTTATATTGCATAAATCATCTGGAAAATGATTCATTGCATTAGCGTATGATGTCAACTGACAATAAAGGACACGGCAATTGTACAAAAATAGAAAAAAGAATCATATTCAGGCTCTCAGTGTTTCCCTTGACGCTCGCCTTCCAGACGATTGTTTTCTGCTAAACAAGATTATAATCTTAAGACTTCCTATCTAGGAAGTTGGTTTTTTCACTCTTTTTGGCATGAAAGCCGATATCCCTTAACGATAAACATATTGAAAATGACCTAACAAAGCTAAAAACAAAAACGATACGAAACAAAAAACAAGTAGACTATTACACTCATGGCATCCCTAAAGTAATAAACAAGGTAAATTTTTATTAACCGAAAACGTAGCATACAATCTAGCCTCTCACACGTTCTTAGGTGTTCGTCACGCGTTCCTGGCAGGACCTAAAATGTCTGCGTGCTGGGAAGGTTCATGATACAATCCTGCCCTTTATGTCTAGCCTGCGAAAACATCCGTTTCTCCACGCTCTTCGCCGCTAGGCACGTTTCGCGCGGAGGAACGTCTGCGACTCAGCGACAGAAATTCCATACTGATGACGCAAATCAATGTTTACTTAATAAATCTGGTAGTCATGGGGTTCCAAATGTAAATTTATTCAATTTTAGGTTTCTCCTGGTCGATTTGGGTAAAGTGTTGTGTTCATCTGCAAACGAGCTCCAGTAAAACTCAGATGCTTGTTCTAGAGAAGACTATATTCGACAAATATTGACTGTTTTGTTAGAGATTCTTCGCGTTTACATTTGACCTTTGTGGCGTTTTGTCTTTTGTCTGTCATTCGTAAACAATAGCTAAAACAATGTATCTACTCCGTCAACCAATAAGGGCTTCTGACCAGATTCTGAACATATTTTACGTCATCAGTATGGAATTTCTGTCGCTGAGTCGCAGACGTTCCTCCACGAGAAACGTGCCCAGCGGCGAAGAGCGTGGAGAAACGGATGTTTTCGCAGGCTATTTTTGTCCCCCTGATACATATTTTTCACCAGCTACACGTTGTGATTGTCTCATCTTTCTTACTTTGTGCCAATGTCATTTTTCATATCTACACCTGCCGCTTTCTTTAGACGGGCAACCTCATCAACATGCTTGTCAGACTGAGCCACACAGCATACAAAAACAAACAGTGTTTTTCAAGGGGTCTTTGTATTCTGGTCAAAATTGTATTGCTTGTATGCATGTTAATGACACTCCGTCTATAACCTTCGTGGCAGGCGCCGGTTAGTTTTTTGCAACAACGCTTGGACCTTACGATTCAATAATTATCAGAGGAAATAACTATAATAATAATTAATAATTCGGTTAATTATAATAGTTGTTAGTTAATGTCACTATTCCGCTTAAGATACGCTTGAAAAGGTAACACAACTAAATAGCGCACGCAGGCAAATAAGACAATTACTACAAGATGGCGTAATAAGGGGGGGACACAGCCCTGTGGCAGGTTGTAGCGACTTCAGGTTATGCGCACAGCAAAAACACAAGCCTCACTTATCGCCCCACTACCGTGGGGTAGGACAAGAGTATTGGCAGAGCCTTTCTTATCTCCCCAGCGCCGCACGGGCTGGATCGGACAAGATTAAGGCAAATGAATAAGATGGCAAGACACAAGCAATGCCAAAAGCTTGGGGGAAGTCGCAACGCAGACTTAACCGCACCACAAGGAGTGACCCCCCAAACTTTATTGATACCTAACACAACAAAACTCCTCCATAGGGAGGGAGGGTGGGTAACAAAATTACTGTAACTGTTTGCTTTCGTGCAAGCTAGGCGAATAATGACCAGGTGTGAAATAGCAGAACTTTATAGCTAGACAGTGTCTCAAATCTCGACCAATGAATACAGTTGTACCATAAGCTACCTAGTCTTATCATGATTAAAGTCTAGCCATGAATAGGGCCTTGAAAACAGGGACCAATGTGCGCGATGCTAAGAAAAATATGATGACAAACATACAACAAATTAGTCAGGTTCCAACCACGAACAGTTTGTTTGTATCTTAAAATTAGCGTGCTTTCGTTCATAAATAAGGCTTTGTTGATCGAACAGAGCATACATTGGGGCAGGCTACCTTAGCCTACCCCCCCCCCCCCC